ACCCCCTCCCTTTCCCACCCCTAGCTGCTGTAACTTGACTCGTTTTGAGTTTAAGTTTTATTTCCTGCGCAATCACCTCATATCACGGGAATCACGTCATATCACTACAGACCAAGGTCAAGGCTGAAACTGAGACGATACGGCACGCAGCGGGACGATTATGTGCGGTGCCGCAAGTCATATTAAATCCATATGTGCGGCAGCGGAACGAAATGTGCGATATCGCAATTGGCAAATGCAATAGGGGAAGGCATGTTGGCTATCGTGATGTCATACGCGTCTCTTCGCTGTCAGTTCTATGATTCGCACCCTTTTCTATAAATCTTCTTCATAGAGCCTACACATCTCTGCATTTAATTCTTAATGACTAATTATCATCCATATTTTCTATGTTCTTGCATTGTTCCATTAATTTAACTGCTTTATTATCTCTATGTAGAGGTATTTAATTGTTATTTCAATCAATTTAATTAAACAAATACATTTTACTATGGTTACCAATTGTCGGGTAAATTCGCCACGGCCGACGGTAACTTCGCCAGTATTGTAGAGTTGCAATTATCTTGATCTTTTGTCACTAGCATAACGAACAGGTCCATCCATTCCTTTGCCATTCAGGATAGCCCAAAAGGCACCATGTGTGCACATCAAGAAAATGGGTGGATGAACGACGACATAGGGGTGCAATGGTTTCAGCAAGTTTTCCGTGTCAAATGAATTGACTGCATCGCACAGAGATTCTTCACAGTCAACCCTATTCCGCCACATTCATATTTTTGTCTGCGGCAGAGCTGCGGCAGCGGCAGAATCGCTCCAGGGTGCCGCCCCGCACTTATGGATTCAGACATTGATATTTCTGTTGGAGCGATTTTTATCGCCCCGTTGCCGTGCCGCTGCCGTCCCGCACATATGGATTGTCACCTTTAGATAGGTTTATTTTAAACATAAAACAAAAACAAAAAACATTCCTTTGCTTGGTGTTTACGAACAAAAGGCCCTGCTTCCTGTATTTAATTGCAAAGTCGAAGAAGTGCACCACACTAAAATGAATTGATTCATAAAAGCATCACGCGCATTCACACACAAAAACACGTGAGATATCACACACACACACACACACACACACACACACACACACACACACACACACAC